CTTGGGTTTAAGCGATTCTCTTGCCTCAGCCTCCCAAGTAGCTAGGACTACAGGCACCCGTCACAATGCCCAGCTATTTTCTTTGTTGTAGTTGTCATTGTTTTAGCAGGCCCAGGCCAGATTTGAACCTGCCAGCCCCAGTGTAATGTGGCCAGCACCCTAACTATTGAGCTACAGATGCCAAGTCACACCCAGCTATTTTTAGAGATAGGGTCTCATTCTGGCGCAGGCCAGTCTCCAACTCATAATCCACCCCCCTCAGCCTTCCAGAGTGCAAGGATTACAGGCATGAGCCACCATGCTCAGCCCCAATTTCCATTTTTCTCCACCAGACAAAGAATAGAAACTACAGCTAAAGAATTTTAAAACAGGAATTCCACTAGTATACTACAGTAAAATAAAATATTTCCTACAAGCCACTAGAAAAGGCTCTTCAATTTTCTTTTTTGTTTCTTTTTGTCTCTTTAATTTTCATAACATAATTCCCTGGCTTCCTCTTACTTCTACTATTTCTATAAAAATGCCTTTTGTTTGGACCTACTCACCAGCTTCAGTGCCAAAGATGTACCAATATGAACATCTGCTCCACAACTGCTCATCAAGCATTAAGCATGTGATAGTGTGTAGACCATCGAAGGTCATGAAGATGATGCATTAAATTCACTGCTATCGTCTAAAATGTCTACAGTCTGCTAAAATTTTTAAGTTGAAATCCGAACCCTTGCCTGGCACGGTGGCTCACACCTATAATCCTAGTACTCTGGGAGGCTGAGGTGGTGGACTGCCTGAGCTCATGAGCTTGAGGCAGCCTGAGCAAAAGCAAGACTGTCTCTAAAAATAGGTGGACACTGTGGCAGGTGCCCATAATCCCAGCTACTGGGGAGGCTGAGGCAAGTGGATCACTTAATCCCGAGAGTTTGAAATTACTGTGAGCTATGAGGCCATAGCACTCCACCAAGGGCAACAAAGCAAGACTCTGTCTAAAAAAAAAAAAAGAAAAAAAACCCCTAACCCTCAAATTGAGGGTATGTGGAGAGAGGGCCTATGGGAAGTTGATTAGGTCATGAGGGTAGTGTGTCCTGAAAGGAATTAGTGTCCCTATAAAATAGGCCCAAGATAACAGTGAAAAGGTGCCCTTTATGAACCAAAAAATGCTCTCAGGAGATACTACATCTGCCTTAATCTTGGATTTCCCAGCCTCCCAAATTATGAGAAATAAATTTCTGTAGTGATTAAGATACCCAGCCTCTGGTATTTTATTATAGAAACCTAAATGAGACAAGAATACTGATTCATAGAACCAAGTGACCATGTACATTCATACCTCATTTTCTGACATCATCCCTGGAGTAAGCTGGGGACCTGTCCCTAAGGAAATGACCAGCACCTCTTCTGGCTGTACCTCCTGAATGGTTTCTTGAGATGATCCTTCATGGTCCATATGTAGGTCCATTAGCATATTAGTGCGGCTTCTGCTCCGAGTTGCTAATTACAAATTTCAAATAAAAATATTTAGAGGAAGATGAAATGAAGAAAATGGCACACTTATCATAAAATATTTTCTATTAGTACCACTTCTGCTCCAAGTTGCTAATTACAAATTTCAAATAAAAACATTAAGAGAAGGCTGCACCTATGGCTCAGTGCATAGGGCGCTGGCCCCATATACCGAGGGTGGCGGGTTCAAACCTGGCCCCAGACAAAAAAAAATAGTCAGGCATTGTGATGGGTGCCAGTAGTCCCAGCTACTCGGGAGGCTGAGGCAAGAGAATCGCCTAAGCCCAGGAGTTGGAGGTTGCTGTGGGCTGTGATGCCATAGCACTCTACCAAGGGC